CTGCAGTGGGCAATAAGCTCCATATGAGTTAACAGTGTGCCTTTGCTGCTGAAAAGGCTAACAGCATACTGGCCTGCATTAGTAGAAGCATTGCCAGCAGATCAAGGGAAGTAATTATTCCTCTCTGTTCTGCACTGGTGAGGCCACACCTGGAGTACTTACTATGTCCAGTTTTGGTCCCCCCACTACAGAATGGATTTGGACAAGATGGGGAGAGTCCAGCAGAGGACAGTGAAAATGGTTAGGGGGCTGGGGCACATGAGTTTTATGAGGAGAGGCTGAGCTTATTTAGTTGGCAAAAGAGAAGACTGAGGGGGGATTTGATAGCATACTTTAACTAACTGATGGGTGGTTCGAAAAGAGGATGGAGCTAAACTGTTCTCAGCAGTGGCAGATGACAAAACAAGGATCAATGCTTTCAAGTTGCAGCAACGGAAGTTTATGTTCTCTATTAGGAAAAACTTTCTCAGTAGGAGAGCAGTGAAGCGCTGGAACAGGTTACTTACAAGGGTGGTGGAATCTATATCCTTGGAGGTTAAGGTCTGGCTGAACAAAGCCTTGGGTGGGATGATCTAGTTGAGGATGGTACTTCTTTGAGCAGGGGGTTGCACTAGATGACCTCCTGAGGTCCCTTCCAACCCTAACTTTTAAATTCTCTTCCAAAGCAGATGGAGGTTTAGGGTACAACTGTTCAGGGAAATATACCAGAAGTGGAGTAAAGGCTGTAGGTCTGCAGGTAGGAGGCAGGGGGAGGGTGGGAGGCAACCCTGTTGGAGGAAGCGATGTAATGGAAACAGCGGTATAGCAAAGTAAGTTATTGGATACTAAGTTCTTTTAAGTTATTGTCACTGTTTGGAAATCAAGCACACAGAAGCATTATTAAAAAAATTGTTAAAGTTGAAAGAAATCTTCACCCAGGGCTGGTCTGTCCTATCCTGTGGAACCTGTGGCCACAGGGGACCCCACAGCCAAGGGGTTGTGCCCCCATTGCTCCCCACTGCCTGCATCATGTTTAAAGTGCTTGATGCAGTCAGGGAGCCCCTTCCCAGCCAAGCGGGGGAGAAGTTCCCGCCTCTGCTCCTGCCCCGACCTCAGCCCAGGGGAGGGAACCCAGGCATCCCCAGCACATGCTGCCCCCACTCTGCACCCCCCACAACACAGCCCACATGCACGCAGCCTGGCTTTGACTATTTTGTTTCAATGAGTTTATACTGCAATTAACTGCAATTTTGATGTTTTTTTAATGGATCAGGGGGCCCCAAAAAATTGTGAGCTGACCTGCCTTCACCATGTGTCACTTATTTAAGGTCTTGCAATTCATGTAGCCTAACTAAATATTTTAAAAAATAACTTGATCCTCTTTATGTAAAC